GGACCTGAGGTTTAATCAAAGAGGACATGAAAATTTTTGTTTAAGTATATATGGAAGTATTTCATTTGTTAATGCAATTTAATCCATGTATTGATTTATGTGATTCACAAATTGTACAACTAAATGTTTAAGTGTCCTTACAAAATTTCATCCTAAGCTATCTTCCAAACGATGATGTTTTTCTTGATTGTAACATCCCCTTATAAACTGTGTCAATGGTATCTAAGTTATACATGTAGAGACTAGTAATTTGATTTGTTCACCATGATATTTTAGATGCCCAAACATATGTATTATGAAGATGCATTTACTTATCACCTGGTATCAACATCCTGTTATTGTCTCCATAGTACCGCTAACTCAGTTTACCTAACACCACAAGGGACCATTGACAGAGCACTAATTAGCCTAACATATTTGGTAATTAAAGTTTTGAGGTCCAATGACCAGGCATTGTCTGCATGTTCTCTCTTTTGATGTAGGCTCTGAGCTTTCCTATTTGTAGAGAAAACAACAAAACATCTCATTTTCGAGCTCATTAACTCAACCAAGCATCATTTTGACATGGAATAAAACAATTCAAAAATCTTTATGACATGTAAATTTATTTTGGTGCAAATAAAATTTAAATTTAAAACATTTACATCAAAGGGCATGTAAAAATAATTTTAAAAGTGCACTTCTCTCAAAATTTCAAAATTAAATGCATTATGCATGCATTGCAGACATATATTTGCTTTGATCCACGTTTTGTGTGGGTATGGCCATGTGCAAAGAGTATGCCAAAACGAGGTTGAATTTCAACACATCAAACATTGTCAAATAATATGCATGAAATGAGACAAGCAGGTGACAATGTCAAATTTGCCAATCAAAAAATAGCTCTGGTGACATTATGTCAAATTTGCCAATCAAAAAAAACTTCACTGCTTGCGAAACAGCAAAATAAACTTGGACAAAAACTTCTAGTATAACACTGCTACTGTTTGTTTACTTTTGTATAAAATGAACATTTAATCTCCCCCAATCTCTGGTGTGTGTTTAGATTTAGGGATTAAAGTTAAAACAGGAATTGAATTCAATGTCGGCCCAAAGAACAAAGTTCTCATAATTAAATTACTGGCTTTTGGGATCCCCATCTCTTGACATTTTAAAGAATGTTGAGATTGAATGAGAACTTTAACATGACATTTGCCATATGACTTGAAAAACCCTTTGTATTTCATTATCTAAAAGAAACAATTTACATTGAATATGACCATACACTACAGTGGTAAAAAGATACAATAACATTTACCAAGGTTATTCAATGACCAACAATATCTTTAGCCCCTTATAAATCATGCAAACCCAATGTCAATGCATGGTCCATGGTCAAGTGATCAAGGTGGTTTTGAGTGTTTCTGCCAAACACACTGTATATATATCTAAACTGTACTGACTTAAAAAGTATAAGTTTGAATTGCATGCTCAAAATATTACATAGATTTTTTGGGCCATCAAGCAGAATTTTATTTCTGGTACCAGAATCGATCAATCGACCTCAGCAGTTTCTATGATCTCATCCGAAGTTTCCACCAGCAGGATTCAAACCCGCAACATAAGAATCAACTTTTTACTCATAACTGTAAGGCAAGCGCTATATTCACTGTGCCCGGTGGGTGACCAATGTCACAAAAAAAATTGCATCAGAAGATTCACAGCTATTCTGCAAAGAAGCAAAATCATCCATCACTGAGACTCTCACTCTGCCAATTTGGGTATATTCCACAAAATTTACTTGCATGGCGCAGCGGTTAGGACATAAGACCCGTCCTTTGGATGAGACTGTATATAAGGTGACTTAGGTCCCATGTCAAAGTAAATGTTAGCACAAAAAAGATCTATTCCCTCATGCAATGCTCAACGGCCCTGTCAGTGCCAAGTATAGGTATAAATTTGCATCCCCATCACCCTCCCACTCGCAAGTGATGGCATCTCAATATGAATAAAAAATTCTTAAGAGGGACATTAAAACAACAAACAAAACATACAAATTTGAGCACCCATATTTTTTTTAACTATTTGATAAACTGTTACCTCAAGATTACATGAACCACCAAAAATAAAGATTTCACACAGAACTCATGAAGGAGAAGACAATCAGTGCTAATTCATTAGGCACTAATTATAGGCGACCATCTACATAATTCATGGAAATTTCTTTTAAAAAAAGTAGGGTTGATAGCTGACTTGTAAGTATTCAGACCTGACAACTATATCTCATTCTGCAAATCAAAAAATTCTCATCTGAGCTGCAAATTACTGAAGATTTAGCAGGTTCAAACTGTTTAAAAGTTGCAGGTATTGAGGTAACAAACAGACTTCAAGTTCAGTGCACATTATCATGAATAACAGGCCCCATATTAAATTTTCAAAACCTAAGATTAAACATATGTGCAACATGATGATTGCACTTAGATGTGGCAGCAAAGCTAAAGTTTTGAAATCATATGCTATTCATAAATCCCACTGAATTTAGTAGTGTTAAATTGTTACGATAGTCACCGACTATCGAAAAATCGTCGTTTAAAGGCCCAGATCAGCGACAATCGATTGTAAATATTATCATCGATAAATCGCTGTATTTTTCAAGCCGTATTTTTCAAGCCGAGCAGGTTTAACTTTTATATTCACCAAAGGGACGTCACTCAAGTCGGCGGTAAACAAAATGGCGAATGTGCATGGTGAAGAGGTTGACGAAAAATTATATCCATATCCTATTTAAAATACTTCTCAGGATGAATAAATTTAACCTTTTTTAATAGTTCAAATTATCGATTATATAATCGATTGTGTTCTTCCGATTCAATTTGATAATCGATAGTAAAATTTGTCTGATTTTACAACACTAGAATTTAGTATGGTTCTTAACTGAGAATATCTCTGAAATTTGATTATAAAGCTTGCAATTACTTAAAAATAAAGATGTAATTAAAAATGACTTTATTGTAATTGTCAGTGAAGGACAGGATTTCATACTGCACATGAACATTTACATGTACGTCAATGGTCAAGGAAATTGACATCACCAGCTGATCACTAGGAATTTACTCTGACATCAAACATACGGACCTCTGCCCAGTGATTGGATCATAGGATTAATGTGTACATAATTATGTATAACATCCCTTAATTTATATGTTTTGAACAAACACAAGGGGAATATAAGGGAGAGAATAATTGAGATGAAAATGTTACCAATGCTAGAAAGAGAGAAAGTAAAAACAAAAATGTTGCCATTGCTAGAAAGAGAGAGAAAGAAACAAGATGCTGCCTTTGCTTTATTTGTTTATATGTCCAATTATGCTTCTTCACATATGATAAAGTTAATTTACTTATATATATGAATCGACCTTTCATTGATGTACATGTATGTGTTATAAGGTCAAGACACAGACTGTGTCTTTGACATTTTATGTTTAGATCCTTTGATATTAACTTATGGAAAGAAAAGTCCTCTTAAGCATTCATTAAATTCCTTATTATAAGTAACCGAAGTTTTAAAATCATATCTGAGTTTTACTGTACTTCATAATCTATTTGCGAAAATATTTTTCGGAATCTTATCTTCGCTGTGCAGTAATTCATACATTTCCTGTCCAATATATACCATGTACATGACCGTACTGCATTTGTTACTGTGACAGGAAGATACAGTAACTGATCATGCTGATTGGGTGTAAACTCCAAAGTCAGTAGTATGATTTTATTATTGTACAAGCGATGTCACTGACTCAAACTATGATGTTACAATATGTATCCTTCTACTGAACTGTGTACGTGAATGTTTGATTTTAGGAAGTCCAGTGAGGTACCAACAAGACGAATTGAAAAAGAGGTTGTAAAAATAAGTCAACTGAACTCAAGCTAAATAAGAAATTATTTCATTTAAATAAAAAGAGTCATTTTTATACCAATACATTTATGCATCATGAAATATTAAGACACATTAACCTTCAAGTTGGTAAAAATAAAACTTTCCTCATCAAAAACTTTTCAGACAGTTTATAGCTTCTGTTTGTTTTTTTAAACATGCAATGTTCCATACACTTTGGAAATGAACTACGTAAAACTCTCCAGCAGTCCAGGTCAATTAATTAATCGTCTGTCCCCATGTGACAAGGTAATTAAGAGCACCAGTACGCAATGTATACATCTGTCATTACGGCACCAACAAACTTCAGAAAAATTTTATGTAGTGGAAAATTGGTTTATCTCTTTTGCTACAAAGACCTACATAAGTTTAGATGATAGGGGCCTTCTGTTTATACACTAATGAAAAAAAAGATTGCATGTCCTGATAAAAAGGGAGGAAAACATTAATTGAACATATGCCCTTTTATCACGAAGTATTGTTAGTTTGGACCGAGATAAATATCTGTTTGGATATATTGTATCATCACTGAGGAATTATTAAACCAAAAAAATGAAATAAGTTGACATTATTTATAAAGTATTATCATGCTTTCTATGCAATACACCCTTCAAGAATTGCTGCTGCAATTTTATTTCTATAAGCCAGCTTATCAAATTAAACATCCTTGAGGGAAAAAAAACCCATTCAGAGCCTGAAGCAAAAGATATAAATACATTTTTTAAAGGAATTTAACGAAGCAAAAATGACTGAATAAAATTGTAGGAGAGGGAATCCCCTATGTGTCATTGCAATGTCATGTACATGTAGGCCTCTAGATGCCCTGAAGTAATATGTATTGTGCGTATCAAACATCCCACTTTTTTTAACAGGTAGACAAACAGACAAATTTACCTGTTCTTGCCATATATTTTTATGGAATTTCATGTAGCAAAAATGACTGAATAAAATTGAAAGAAAGGGAATCCCTTATGTGTCATTGCAATGTCATTTACATGTAGACCTATAAACTGATAAATGCCCTGAAGTCATGTATCAAACATCCCACATTTTTTCAGACAGACAGACAGACAGACGAACTTACCTGTCCTCCCCCGAAAGTGAAAGACTGGCTTTTCGGAGTAGATCATCTTTCTCTTTCTTAAGTTCCTCAACTTCTTGGAACAAAACCTGAAGTTGTATCTTCTGTTTGATAATTTCTAGATCCCTCTCCTCTAATAACGCTATGAGCGCATTCTGAGGCAGGTGCCCGTACAAAACGACAGGATCGCTGGTCTCCATCGTAGAATAAATGTTATTCACAGACTAAGGAGAAGTTCGTTCTGGCTACCAAAATATTGACAGCCATGTTAAAATCCTCGTGTTTCCTTTGGTGTCAAATCTTATCCAACTCCAATAACAGGATGAAAAAAAATCGATGACACAAATTCTAGAGAGTTTTACACTCAGTTCTAGATCCGAACTACTCAGGAAATATTTTCCCACATCTGTTTATTGCGATAAAACAGAAAATGCGAGTTTTTATGCCTTTAATGTTGTACCTTCACGTCTCGCAAGTTTATCTTTCGATGTCCGGAAGTTGATACCTTGTGACGTCAGGTGGACCCGGACCACAATTAGCTGACATATAGACTTATATAGTAAAAACATGTGTTTTATTTTCTTTGTAACTTTTTTAAAAATCTTCATTTCCAAAATATCTTTGACCACATGATAGAGCAATGTGTCAGATAAAAATTCACATCCAGAAATAGGGGTGTTGAATGTGGAATTCCCTGGTTATTAATAAACTTCGTCATGACCTCGGGATAGCTCTCGCTTGGCAAAAAAAGTGTAAACAAACCAAATGAATGCTCTTTTTTCATATTTCTAGGCATAATTTTTGCTTGAAATGCACCTTGCTGCATATCATTGTAAACTTTAGACACTCTACTTTTATTCTATACCCCAAAAGTATCTAAAACATGTGAGCTATTTTTATTTTTATCATTGAAAGGGAGGCATATGAATTTCCTACATGTGCTACGTTTTAGCCATTTGACCTTCACCCTTTAATTGTGGCCCGGATCCAGGTGGTCATGTTAGGTTATTTGAATATTTTGATCTGGGCGGATCTTTAATTTTCAGTTGATTTACAGTTTTAGAAATTCATTACATTTATTCAAATCTTAATTTCAAAAAATTCAAACATATTTCATTTTATTTCAATATTTTGATCTGAGAGGAACTTGAATTTTCAGTTGATTTACAGTTTTAGAATTTTACACTGATTTATTCAATCGAATTCTAAATTTCATCCTCACAAGCCAGGGGTCCTGAGTCATGCAACACGTTGTCGTTAGAATTGACTCAGGACCCCTGGCTTGTGAGGATATCTAAATTTTAAAAAATCGAACCGATTTCATATAATTTGAATGTTGTAATATATATTTAGTCAGATGCATATCTCCGATTAAGTTAAAAAAAAAACCTACACTTTCAAATCTAAACTTGTACAAAAATGCATTTTTTTACCCTGAATATTCAAATTTAGTTTAAAAAACGATTTACAGGAATTTTGAATTTTTAAGTTTTTGTTTTATTATCGTGTAAATTGTCCAGAAAGTGTCACTATACACTATTAAATTATACACTATATAGTACAGTACCATTTTACGTACGTCTTTTATATTATAATAAAATTTGAACCAAACTTCTTAATTTCATGAAAAGGTTTTGTAAAGAAATTAGTTTGAATTATGTGATGTTTTGTGTTTTAATTAAAAGCACCTGTCCTCACAGTGACACGTCGCACAAATCACATCCTGCCCCCCTTCCCTTCAAAAAGCCTAGGAGTGGCTTTTATGTATGGCACGCCAAATTCACAAAAATAAGATAATCATAGTTTCACAATCGATAAACTAGGTTTATTGGTTGTAAACTATAGTTTACAAACCGTAAACTATAGTTAACAACGTTAATCTATATTTCACATCTGTATAAACCATCGTTAACGCGATAATCTATGTTTCACAACAGTAACCTATACTTAACACCGGAAACAATCATTTGCGATTGCAAAACATAGATTATCTGATAAATACAGTTTCACGATTTGTAAACTATAGTTTACAAACCGTTAACTATAGTTAGCGATCTGATAAATATAGTTTCACAATTTGTGAAACTATGATTAACAACTCATAACTATAGTTTACGATTGTAAACTATAGTTTACAAACGTGAATCTATGTTTATCAACAAAATCTATTGTTAACGCTTTATTACAGACAGATAAACTTAAATTAACATTCGTAAACTATAGTTAACAACCGTTAAATATAGTTTTACAGATGAAAACTATACTTAACGAATCGTTAACTATAGTTTACGGTGTGTAAACTATAGTTTACAGTCGATAAAGCTAGTTTATCAATCGTGAAACTATGATTATCTCATTTTTGTGAATTTGGCGTGCCATATTTATGATTCAAAGAATTATGGTTTCCCACTTTGGGCATCTTAAAGTAGATAGGATTTCATTATTTATGACATATTGTGTCAAATATGAATGGCCTATCGTACGTCATTCAAGCGTTTTTTGTTTTCTTGTTTTTTTGTTGTTGTTGTTTTTTTTTTTTTTTTTTTTTTTTTTTTTAATAGAGCAAATATAATGGTTTATAGGTGGTCAAAAACTAGAGAATGCTCGGAAACTTCTTGTAACAGGTAATGCACTTGTCAAATATGAAAGCACTATTTCTCTCCTCAATCAAAAGTTATAACGAAAGGTAGCATTTCTGAAAAGTTGAAAAGTACATGTAGGTCAAACTTCAAAGTCAAGGTCACGAAGTCAAAAATCGTCGTACATGTACATGTAAGAAAGACCTTGTCAAAGGTAACTACATGTAATTGTGTAAAATGATAACCCCATCTTTTCTCTTTCAAAAGTTATGACCAATTTAAAGTATTTTTAATTTTTAAAGTAGGTCAAACTAAATAGCTTTTTCGAACTTTGTGTTTCATAGTGTTTTCACAAACACACCATGTTTGACTTTGACATTTGAGTTTGACCCACATTTCAAAAAGTCTAACCCAGCAAATAACTAAAAATTTAAACAATTAGAACGATGGCCTCCATATTTCACAATATTAAGATTATTACATTAGATACTAGTAAGGCCTTCCTTTGGATACCAACAATTTCGATCATTTGTCCGTACCCTTCGAGGACCTTGGCAATAGATTTTTGATTGATTGATTGACTGATTGATTGATTGATTGTATATTGTTTAATGTTTCTCTCGAGAATTTTTCACTCATATGGAGACGTCACCGTATGCTGGTGAAGAGCTTCAAATTTTGACCTTTACTCGGCACCCAGGGTCATTGAGCAGTGAGGGATCTTTAACATGCCAACATCTGCCGTGACACGGGGTCTCAGTTTTTAAGGTCTGACCCGAAGGACCTGCAACTTTCACTTCAAAGTGCCGAGCGCATGGCGACTTAGGTAGGTCGCGGCCGCGAGATTCAAACTCAGGACCTCCCGATCACGGAGCGAGCGCTCTACTGACTTAGCTACCGTGAACGGTCTTTTGAAGATTTAGAGTTGTTGTTAGGGATTTTATCAATATTTCACAATATTATACTTTCATGTAAATTAGTTGAATCTAATTGGTCGAGTAACATTTGTTAAAAAAAACACTACTACCCGCTGAATAATGAAGCCACGCCCTCCAGCGTAGCAACAGTCAACATTGCTTATCGACGGGTGGTATTCCAAAAAATAGCGACTGCGCAGAATTTATGCGCGCACGGTTCACTGTTATATGTATTTGTATAAAACATTCAGTATAATATAATAAATATAGCATGTAGTTGAGTGTAACATTAAAAATTTTCACCCCTCGAAAACCATTGTCAACCTCGGCTGCGCCTCGGTTGACAATGATTTTCTTGGGGTGAAAATTTTCAAAGTTACACTCAACTACATGCAATATTTATATATTAATGAGCATTTCTTATGACAAAACCTTCTGAGCATCTTTAATTTGACATTTTGACCATGACCTTTGAGTTTGACCAACATTTTAAAAACTTTAATCTTGGCCATAGTCTTTTAATGGTAAATGGTTCGGCTTTTATATTTCACGGGTACATTGAGAACCAGATTATTCTTTTGAGTAGCACCAATTTTCTTCCCTTGACCCGGGCGTTTGACTTGCATTGGAGAAATTTCAACCAAAAGCTGTCATAGGTGGGCATCCGTGTTTCAAAAACACATTTTGCTATTACTGTAATTTAATAAACCATATAAATTTCCTCTGAAAAGAAAATTTGAATTCATTTTGTGACTCTCAGAAGTTTTGTTTTCCTATGCGCCCCTCTATATTTTGAGGGAAAATGGCCGTCTTCGAATTCCGGCCCGCCTTGCATTTAGTTGAGTTCAAAACTCAGTTTCATAAAAATTACCGGTATTCATATTTTTATTTCATCAAACTTTCTATGTTTATAGATATTGATAGGAGCTTTTGAACTGCCTCAACATTTTGTTTACCCTGACCTTTCTTTTGACCTTGACCCCACTTTCTTAAATTAGTATTTAGCTGTTTTAAACAAACTATTCAAGATAGTTTAATCAAACTTCATAAGTAGATTTATGCTGATGTAAGCTTTTCAACTGCATCAACATTTTTGACCTTGGGTTTTCCTTTAGACCTTGACCTGAGGAAATATGGTCGTCTTCCGTCCAGTCCCGTCTTGCGTTTAGCTGAGTTCAAAGCTCATTTCAAAGAAACTACCGGTATTCAAGATATTTTCATCAAACTTCCTTCCTATGTTGATAGCTATTGATGAGAGCTATTAAACTGCTTCAACATTTTTTGTTACCTTGACCTTTCTTTTGACCTTGACCTCACTTTTTAAAATAAATATTTAGCTCTGTTTTAAACAAACCACTCAAGATAGTTTACTCAAACTTCATAAGTAGATTTATGCTGAAGTAAGCTTTTTAACTGCATCAACATTTTTGACCTTGAGTTTTCCTTTTTACTTAAAAATAACATTTATGAATTAATGCCAACAGTGAAGTGGTTTTCATTCCCAATGACCCTAAAACAAATCATAACTCAATGGATACATGTGTAACAAATTATATTTATAATAAAGCCAAATTCAGGAAAATTGTTCATCCCTGATGCTTTGTCTGAAGCATGTGTTACTGTATTTCATATCTTAAACTTTTTAAATTATTTTAACTTCACATTGAATTTCCCTTGGGAAAGAAAAATACTCTGTACAAAATAACACAGATTTATTTTACTTTTTTAATTATTAAAAACAAAAACAGTATTACAAACAACTAGGAAACAAAACAAAAATGTCGAGATTCCTTCTACTAAGTGAAAAAAAAAATAAATAAAACTCAACAAATTAAATAAAAAATGCCAAAAATAAGAAAATCTAAATGAACACTTACTTCATATCTACATAATCTCTACAACAATTACTAGTATCTATGTAATCACAAGCATAACAAAACATTTTATCAGATTCAAAAGTGGTTTTAAAATTGTACTAAGTTCTTCATCAACATTATGAAAATTAATTCACTATCATTGTAAGTTGATTGAAAAAAAAAATCATCACTTCATTTTACAACTGTTCCAATCTGTTAAAAAAAAGAGGAAAATTTAAGATTGTCAAAACATTTGAAATACAAAATTCAATGAAAATGTTTATAAATGCCTTATTTCAAGAAAGCAATCCAATATTCAAGTCAACTTTCAAGTATACTTACATGTACATTGTATATTGTATAACATTTTGCAATCACAATGTAAAACCAAGAAAAAAAAATTCTGCACCAAGTTCTGCATCACATTCACAAAGCTTTCTTAAACCCTGGCAATTGATACATTTAAAATTTTCTAAAGGCCTTATGTTAAAATAAGTCAAAAGTATATACAATGTACATCACAAAATATGCCACATGATTAAATATAAAGCTAAGTTGTATATTCTGCTCAATAAATTTGCAAAATCTTTAACTCCTGCAGTGAGTTTCTCCAAATGAATAATTTTTTGGTAATATACAGAACAATACATATTCTTATCTCCTTATAATCAATTTCAAAGAACATGTTCATGTAATAATACTTTCTTGTCTTGTACTTTTCTATAAAATCATAACAACTTCAATAAATGGTTTTGGCAAGAATGATAAAGCATAATGCAGTTTATGAAGATTGATCTGCATGAGCGATGACAAAATGGGAAAAAGTTATTAAAATTATTTATAAAGGATAAAAATTGCATGATAGGTATAAACTACCGGAAATTTACAGCTACATGTATTGGTGTGCATTTTTCATATCAATTCGTTAATTTAGCCAACAGAAGAGTAACATATTCGCCGAGCCAGATTAGATCAAATTAGGTCATTTGTGTACAAGAGTTGCAAAAATCATGATATTGACTGAAAAACAGCAATAATGGATTTTTTAAATGATTCATTGATTTTTTAATTATAAAATCTCATTGAGAAAACCTTGCGGTCTTTCTTGATTGCATTGCATTTGTTCCAGTGAAAAATGAGAGATTGAAAGAAAATATGATGTACAGTTCATGCAAGATAAAATCTCATATTTGAACATTGTCAAACAAAATTGTTATCTTGAACAAATAAACCCAAGTAAGATACAAAAATAATGAAATAAGGTGTATAAGGATGCTCATGCACATGCAAAATTTTTAATGATATTCAATTGTATTTGTTTACATTCATGCACTGAAATATCATGGTTTCATCCATTTCTATCTCAATACAATATTACAAATATGTACATACAAAACCTGCATGGTTATGAATTGATAAACACAGAATTTTATTTTTTTTGTTGGGGGGGGTGTTAAAAAAAACACCCATGCAAGCAACTTTACTTGATCAGACATATAATCATTTTATAACAATATGTGACAGGAATTTTATCATTTTTTAATAAAGTTACATACAATTACACAGACAGGATTTTCAATCATGACAATAAGTAAAACATAAATGCTACATGTTGGTTTTTGTAAGTGTGAAGGGTGAACTATATGAACACAAAGAAATAAATGACTAGTTTCCTTGATTTCTATTTTGCATTTTCATGCAGTTTTATAGCATACACAATATATGGCACATTATTGTAAATTTACATTATATAGCACAGATTTCTACTTATTTAAAAAAAAAAAATGAAAAATATGTTTCTGCCTCCTTTCTAAAAAAAAAAAAAAAGAATGTTGATTTCAAATCATGAAACTCAGGAAGACAAGATTGCTTCAAATTCAAGTTTTTTTAAAAGTAACTAACAGCAATAACAGCTGAGACAGTTATCTAATTATATGATATAACCTCCTTTTTAATGTTTTTTTTTTGGTTTTGGGTTTTTTTGGCTTCAATCATTGCACTGTTTTGTATAGGAAGAAAGATAACTCTGATTAAAAAATAATGCAAGCACCTTTCAATGTAAAATCATATAAGGGATGTGGAATACACAAAACTAAGCCATTTTCAGTATTGCAAATAATTGTATAGTTGAACATAGTACAAAAAACAGGATATTTTATACAAATGTAGAAATATGTGGTTTCTTAAATATTAAGGACTGTTAATCATATTTATACTAAAAACCAATTTGTTCATGGGTAAAGCTAATTTTGAAATACACAAGTAAAGTGTTAAGCAGGTATTTATATTATGATACATGCCTTTTCATGAGTTTAACTATTACTGTCCCATCTGAATGCAGTTGAGATGTTGCACCCATCCAACCATTTTTTTTTTAAATGTACAATAAACCACTCTAATATGAGGAGCAAAAATATAAATTTTACTAAGGGCAGCCACATAGGGGGCAAGCTGGGTATTGACTCTCATCCAATTTGGTGAATTGGTTAAATTATTTCGTACAACATTTGTAAACTTTCACACTCAGAATATATTTGAACAACATGCTAAGTTTGGGACTTTTCACAGTAGATGATTATTTTCTACACTGTCATGAAGCACTGCTGCCCCGTTTCCCTTGGGTACACATCTTCTGAATCCGCTGCACCAGTTGTCGACACAGCGGGGGGAAAGGTGTACCATCCCTAAGGTGTAATATGGCTTTCTGGATGAAGTTGTAGGTATTGTTCAGAGTCCTCGGGTACTGCATATTGAACACCCAGTAGGCAGAGAACAATGTTCCGAGGGCAATAGTAAACTCCTCAAATTCTTGGACCACCTCTTCTTCCACAACCAAAATGAATTCATCGCTCTTGAATATGGACCCTTTAGAGATGAGAATCGGAACAATTTTTCCTTTGGGGTCAATCTCATCATTATTTCCAACTTCCCTCACCATTTCCACAAGGTTTTCTTTCAGTAACAGCGGCAGCATGCATAATGCGGTCACCATGTCCCAGTACTGTTTTAACGCCAGGTTCTGCTGCTTTGCGGTCTCCGCCTGCTTTAGAATGCTCCCCGATCCAGGCGTCTGCCTCCCTATGTCTATGACAGTGGAAGCGTACTTCACACAATACTCCTGGATCAGGTGATCAATGTCCAAACCCGTTATTCTCTGAAATTCGGCCAGCATTTGTCTCCCTTTGAAGAGCTGTGGAAAGTGCTCTTTCAGAATGATAACTGCTGGCATTTCCTCCGTCACAAACGCACGCCTGGTTTCAAAAGTTTCGTCCATGAACTTGTGAATTTCCTCGTCCGTTTGTTCATTAGAGGAACTTGAGTCACCCTTTTCGGTTATTTTCTGCTTTTTCTCTGGAGAACCTAGAAGCTCAGATTTGGCTACTTCCTTTGCGACTTGTGTCGACGAACCTGGGACTACCTCCGCTGTCATCATGGCAGCTTTGCGTTTGGATTTCTGTGACATCTTTAATCAATACTACATTAATCTAAAAAGATATGTAAATTTGTAACCCAATATTCTAAAGCTTTAACAGAGAAATAAAAGGGATTTGGCTAATAGGACCTCTTATCATGCTTGTGTACTGTAGAAGCACAAATTTTCATGTGGATAAAATTTCGTTGATTTGTCAATTTGTTATTTAATTTCGTTGATTTGAAAGTAACCCTATTCAATACATAATTAGTCATATTAAATTTCATGTGGGTTTTAATTTCGTTGATAATTGTTAATGACGAAATAAACGAAATTTAATCCCCCTCTAATATTTGTGCTTTTACAGTATGTTAATGAAACCCTATATTGTGACATCATGCCTATACATTTATACTCTCAGGTTTAATAAAGGACTAATAAAAAAAAGTCTTATCTAATTCCTTCTCTAGATAAAATCATTGCCCACATATAACCCATGCACAACAGCATATACACCAGGTGACCCATCATGTTGGGAATTTACATTGTGATTTACATCTTTCCAATGCGTAATATCGCAAGTACCTTGAAGTTATCTATCTAACTACCGCTGTTTTGCGGGGGAGTCAAGAAAGCTCTAGATTTTGGGGGCACATGACATTGTTTACAGTAGTAACAATCAAATGATAAGAACAATTTAATGCCGAAAGTACAACGTATTGTCAAGAATTGGACTCCAAATAGTAGACTGTCAAATAAGGAAAGTTTAGAATATTTTATCAGCTTTAAAATATGACGATTTTCAAAGAAAATTTAATGAGAAGTCTGCTTAGTTAAAAATATTTTTAAATATGTAACATTTTAGGATTAGCTCGTCTCAAAAATAATTAGGCTGGTTCAGCGATTTTTTAGCAAGGTATTCCACCAGAATTTTTTACTTAACTATCCTTATAAACTCTACAATTATGACCGATCTTGCATTGTATTCAATAGCACATTTGTCCCCATCGTTTCCTACCTCCATCTGGAAAGAGTTCTGCTAAGTCAAGTAATCACAATATCAAGTATTATTACATTTTTACTCGTGAAATACTGTAATTTATTCATTGAATAAAAATGATACCCTGTCACGGTGTGAAAGGATATCAAAATGATATCCTTTCACGGTGTGACGAATATCAGAAGTGGGGGAAAATTCTCGATTTCCCTTCCCATAACGAAGATTACTGTAAAAAAATCTTTCTTGAGCCAATTCTGACAGCGAATAAAACTGTCAAAATTACCAAAAATATGTGGCTAAATCTAAATCCATGTATACAGTGTTTTCACCTCACTTAGCTATGACATCTCAACAGCTCAACTATGACGTCATGAGCCTATGACTGTATTACAAAAAGACAGATGCAAAGGAAAAATCAAAGAATATTTTCAAAAAATGTAATAAACAGAAAATTCAGTTTTGTAGATGAATATGAAATTTATTTCACTCGTGAGATAGGATTTTTTGATATTTTCACTCGTTGCTTCGCAATCGTGAAAATTCACCGTGAAATAAACATATTGTACAAAACATTGAATATCCTCTATTTACATTGACGAAGAACCTAAGATGTCAACATTACCACTGTGTTGCAAAAAATTTCAACTCAAAATCGCTACATTTCTTAGAAAATTTGGGTGATCATTACCGCTACATTTTATCAACAATTCTAAGGCTTTAGCTGATTGCAAGTTATTACACTAAATATTGAATCAGTTTGCAATGCCACTAAAATAAAAGTTCAATTCAGAAAGATTCATTATCTGAGATTTACAGACAGCAGTATGCCAAGTAAATGGCCTTCAAAGCTCTACCAATTATGTAAAGACTGTATTTTGTCCATGAAAAATACTTGATTTAAAACTTTCTAAATTGTTTTAACATCTCTGATGCTTGTATTATTTTGTATTTTTCATCAACCTGTTTATTCATAAGCCCCTGACAAGTACAGGCAATAGAGCAGTAATATATACTTTTAAATGAAGCAGTAATGTAACCTTTTTTTGCAACAATGAGTATGTAGCAGTAACAACAATTTTGAAAAAGTAGTGGTAATGATACACACACATACACAGGGGTCTTGAAGTGAGTCTTGTCGGGGGAAATTAAAAACTTCCAGATATCGGCATTTCACGAAAAGTCCTGGGACTTGGCTATGTTTCTTGTTTATCTTTTTTTATAAGTTAAAAAAATTTTTAAAGCTAAAAATAAAGCAAATTCTCAAATGTATTAAGTAAAAATGTGGGTTTGTGGGCGTTAACATACCCATAAAACATTACGAACGTTTAAATTACAATCCGTCTTTTTAATTATTCTTGCTTTTACGCAATTCCGCATGTTTCCTCCTATATGACAAATGGCAATGAGTTTGTTAAATTTCGGTTTTAGCTGTGACTTACAGCACATTTTAATTTCTATTTATTGTAAAAGATGGTTTATTCAGTAGTGAGTATTTGTAAAAGTTATTGTAATGTACCAGTAATCTATCAGTCTGGTATTGTGTTGAAATACTCGTGTATGACTATATGACAGTTTATGGAGGAAAAATAAAACATATATTAATACATATAGTCTTTATTCATTCAATGCAACTAATGAAAATCAATTATAAGTTACATAAATTTAATGATGTATAGGTAAATATGGACTCTGAAATTTCTTCCCGGACTTGCCTAAAATTTACTCTTAGTCCTGGACTTGACCATGACAAAAAAAATTTTGAACCCCTGCATACACCCCTGGTTTTGATTGAAGTGAAAGTCTTGCCGGGACAAATTAAGAACTTCGGATATGGGTCTTCCTTGGTATAAATAATAATTCCAGGGGCATGGCCAGGGTACCTCTGATGTGGATGCCCCTGTAGACAAGGTATTTGAAGGCCACCTTCAATGGGTCCAGGTTGGGCCAAGGTGGCAAAGCCCTTTAGAAGCAAGAGTTTTAAGACCATTTAGATGCATATTCTACCATCCTGATCGAATTTTCCAACACTTTCTAAGTTTGTTACACAGCAATATTTGAATCATAGTTGCCAACTCACCCGATTTCGTCGGGTCACACCCGATTTTTCAACCCGTAACCCGATTATTTTTTATGACCCGGCGGGTCATGCTTATCACCCGATTTTTGCCGAACAACCCGAAAATCTCCAGATTACCGGATTTGGTTCGTAAATTAGGTTGCACTTTTAACTTCCAGTTACAACCCAAGCTTAGATCTACGTAAACAATGCCGATGGATTAATTATCTGTGCAGGTGTAAACAATTAACTGGGTGTTGTTTTGACAAATCAATGTTTGAAGTCAATTAAAATGGCTTCCGATAGAACTAGATCGTTATCAGGGCCAACAGGAACAAATTGAACCAAACACAAGTCTCTGATTGAACCAAGAAAAAGAGAAACGATATTTATGTACATATCAAGGAATCTTGGGGAAAAAACTTTCATTTTAGATAAAATAAAGTGATCAAAGACAGTTTAGGCCTAACTTCAAATTTAAAACATGTTGCAGTAGTTAATTAATTAAGAGAGAGGAAAAACAACTTCAAAACTGAAATTGGTATACTTTCAAATTTAGCAGAAACTGAATAGGCTTTTTTTTAAAAAAAAAAATGCACATTTACATCAGGTCAATACTGAAATATGAAACCTTCAATTTTCATTTTTAACATGTAAATTAAAGCAAATTATGTATTAATTTTTTGTCATAGTATTTTTAATTAAATAATTTTTCAATAAAAGAATTCTAAATACACATGCAAATACTTAATTTGTATATATGTATAAAATTTAATCATGGTAAATATGTCGTGAATGTCGTTACGCGTTATGACCAGATTTTTTACTTTCCAAATCTGGTCATGACCAGATTTTTACATGCTGGAGGTTGGCAAGTATGATTTGAATGCGGACAAACACCAAAAAATGAGAGAGGATCTTTCCAATATTGTTGTATGAAGAACCCACTTAAAGAGATTTTTATACTTCTTTTTACAAATGATGAGGATGTTTGTGCGTACAAACGTATGCCTGGCTATGCACTTTAATTCAGGGAGGGGCAGTTGTGTTAGCTTTGGATCTTGGTCTTGTTAGCTATGTTTTTAAGGCTTCCTCGCGGTTGGGGTCCCAGGTTCTATTCCCATTCCAGCCTGCCCAGCCATAGTTTTCTCTTTTCATGTTACAGTTTATTTTAGCATAGTAAATTTATTAACATGCAGATCCAATTTCTGTTTGTTTCATCTATTTTTGTGTGACTTAAGACTTGGATTTGCTTGAATTTATTTTCAACTAGCTTTTTTGCCTGTGTTTTTTTTTATATTGATTGCCTATTACAACAACAACAACAAAATAATAATAAAATAAAATCATGTGCATCGTAGGTTGTCCAAACAATGTTGTCAACATAATAAATTATGTTCACCAAGTCACATCATACTCAGTCGCCGGAGTCTAATCAGTGACAGTGATGATTTAAGGCTATAACAGAGGATTAGTTATTATTTTTGAAGCTATATACTTCCTGTTTTAATATGAGAGATATGATTTTGAATGTCCTTTGTCCACTGTGCCATTTAGATTTAACGTTACACACGACAAAACAGTGGTCATGACAGACGGCGCCGCACGGCAGACACGAGCTCTCTGTTTTGTCTGCAAATTAGCCATGCGTAACAACTGACATACATATTTGCTTAAACGTGATCTGTTCTTTAAGAAATGTCTTTTGATATTAACCTGTAAACATGAATTGCATAAGACGCAACTGACATCCCATCCTCACACGGCCATTTTCCCTAAGATTCTGAAACATCCGTCACGCTTGAGGGATTTGGTGGTCTCAAACGTTCAAGACTTTTAAAACCGGATGAAACGGAGAAAAAACAGCACTCGGAGTAACGCTCAAAATAATTCTTGTTACTTAAACATAATATTATACCAAGATAGAGTAGGTGAAAATCTTATTTGCATGTATATTCCCCAACTGAGTAAGTTAAAGCGGTTTTTCTTTATTATAAAGTCCTCTTACATTTTTTCTGGATAAAAAAAGGACATGCAAAAAAAAAAAAAAGTTCAATGCTGTCCTTTTAATCAAAGTACTGAAAGTACTGGGAAGCGCTAAGCATATTGATTTGGAATTCGTCAGAATTATCTTAATTTAAAATGTCCTGTTGTATTGAATTCTAAGCGATATTTTGACAGTGCGATAGCGCTAGGTCGAGCACAGTTGTCAAAAAGTATGTGAGTCCTGAATATGTGAACCCCATTGGGATAGGAAATTCAGCATTGCCTCATGCTTTTTTTTCAAACATCATACATTATCTTCGTATGTCAAAAGATCAATCTATTTTACTTACAGTACTGTACAAGAAATTGCAAGAAAATATTTTTGCGTGTAAAATTATTTTCTTTCGAGATGGTAAGTTATATTTACAGTACTTTCTTTCGTTTGTAAGGAATTTATTGTACAGAGAGGCGTGGCAGTCGAGTCGCGCAGCGACGAGACAGCCACGCCTCTCTGTATAATAAATTCCTTACAAACGAAAGAAAGTGTCTGTAAATGTCTTGTGTCATGGTCATTTACATAGTCACTCCCTCGACATCAAACTGCACGCGACATTACGTCACAGGCCTAGGTCCATCGTAGACGGTTCAAACAAATCAGAAAGTTCGAAGGAGATGGCTGCATTGGAAAGTCAAGCGATGTTAATAGAGTGTGCAATTGTATTTGATGGATTAATTTAAGCAGTATGAATATTTCAAAAAACCATAAGGTACTGGAAACCTGTATCCGTCCGCAAAATGATCCGCTTCATTACTGTTACTACGGATATGGTTGCATGTCCGGAGGAAATCCGAATGGAGTACGGTAGCCACAGGTGTCAAAATTATGGAATGCATTGTGAAAAAGTCCGAATGCATTACTTGTATATTATACGAACATGTATCAGTGTGCATGTAACTCAAGTAACCCGGGAAACAGGTACTTTAAAGAATATCATCTAACTGCGCGTTTTTTCAATATTGTCAGATTTAAATTATCTTGTTTTCATTTGAATATACATGTTTTACTTGAAATTCTTTTTTTGTTTAAAGCAGTTAACTAATGAGTTTACATGTACTAGTATTTCTCTTGAAAATGTTTTTCACGTAATTCAGGGATGGAGTCGATTACATTAAAAAGTAATTAATCAAATTACAATTACTTTCTCTTCAATTAAATTACATGCTTTATAAATCATGTAATTAATTGCTTTATAATTACTTTACAAAAACTGTAATTAATTAATTACAGTCAAGTACAATTACTTTTTTGTTCAATTACCCCATCCCTGTCACGTATGCATTTATAAAGTGAAGTGGGGGGGGGGGGTTCGATTCTGTGGGATTTCTCATGTTTCCTAGCTCTAGATATTGTGTATAACATGTATAAGCTTACAGAAATTGAAGAAAAGAATATTTAAAAACCATCGAATTCTGTCGGAAGTTATTGTACGGTAAATTGGAAGTTATTGTACGGCGAAGCTCCGCCCCCTAGAAGTTATAGTACGTTGGAATTCAGCCAAAGGTTTTCTATATGATTTAAAGCATGGCCAACATCAAAAGAAAAAATACCGCACCATGACACAAATGGATATATAGCACGTACCATATTATGTAAGTAGTACATTGTAAATCAATTTTATGTGATTTCTTTTATTGAACAACTCACTTCCAGTTTGAGATTTAAAACTTTATCAAAATCCTATCTGAGTTTTAAATCATGTACCGGGTACGTATGAATATTCAATGTACATAATAAATAATATACAGGTTCTAAAATTAAGTAATTGCACCATAGAGGCAGCAATTGTAAGCTACAAGGTACCAAATTAATGTGTGCCGACATGATTTAAATGAACTACAATGTATACAGAAGAGCATGATAAGAACTGCTCTTATCTTCTAATTGTGGAACATCCTTAAACCTCACTAATTACCTTCTATTATTAGAAATGCACGTAACGCAGCATTACACTAAAATAGCAGAAAGAGAGTCAGGGATTTTTAGAATAACAAGTGGAGTTATCTAACTTGCTTATAGTGGCGCTGGATCCAGAACGGAAGTAGATTTACGCTGACAGAAAGCGCTGTGCGCTGCGCTTAGCGCTTAAAAAAAGGACTGCAATACGTGGACCGTATGCATGTCTTTCTTACCGAAATCTTTTTTTGCATTTTAATGTATCATCTTCCACTGAATTCCTTTGTTTCGTAGACACATATATTACCCTTACCAAAGCAAATGACAGACAGAAATACATGTTTTTCCTCAAAATTAAAACACTAAAAGTAATTTTATAATTTTAAATGTTTTCAAGACATACAAGCCCAATACAATAACAGTGAAATTGTTGGACCGATATAATAAACATTTCTTTTGTTGGACTTTTTATTAGTAATAAGTAGTTACGAATAATAGGTAATTAGTAACAAATATATACAGGCCTATTAAGATATTTTTAAGGAAATAACAAATCAAAATGTGAAATGCCACATCTGGACACTTCTTTTTTTTATGTAGAAGATTTTGAATAAAGTCTGTCTCCAAAAGAATGAAAATTCTTGGAAGATGACCGCTCTAGAAATGCTTTTTTTTTTAATTTTCTTTTCAAGTAAAAAAAAAAAAGGAATTTATTTATTTGTTTATTTTTTAAATGATTTTCTGGATTTCTAAACTTCACAAAAATCATTGCAAAGAAAGATACTATGCAAAAATCAGTATCCTGCACTTGGCCTTAAGCAGTGGATATTCGATGTTACTATGCTCGTGTGAAGCGAAATTATTTATAATTTTAAAAACTTTTACTTAAAATGAAAAAGAATGGTTATTATAATCCCAATGAACTTGAAATTAATTAAACACACAACAGAGTCTTCTACCCCCTTGCTGTATCATATTTGGATGTTTTACTGACTTTGAAGACCCGTAGGAAGCAATTTCAGTTGGGGGTGGAGGTGTTACAATCATACAATTTCCGTTTGGGGGCACTAACAACTCAACTACCAAATATTTTTGACAAGCAAAAAAAAAAAAAAAAAAGAAGAAGAAGAAAAACAGTACTAGTAATCAGATCGAGTTAATTGTTGATGCTCACAAGCATAAATTAGCTATGCTTTTATGGGGGGGGGGTTTAAATACGCTTTTACGATTTTTATTAAATCGCTTGAACGATTACATATGTACCCCTCCCCCGTGCCCCCAACCCGTTCCTGTACGGTCATGTTAAGGGCCATAATGGTTAACTAACAACTTAACTGTATGGCAAACGAGATACCTTCAATTTTGCCATTGTCAACCTTCCTTATAAATAGATGTAACCTATAATATTCCGCGTTTACCTGCATAAGTAATTATTTTTAACATAAATTTTCGCAAATAAAAGAAAAACAAATTTGGGGTCTGTTAAGTAAATTTTCAGATATTACTAAAAAGTGTCAATTTTATGTTAAAATTGGCTCAATTTTTCATGGATTTTCAGTTTATATATTCAGAATATAATGAAAGAATTCATAAGAAATAATCTAAAAAATATTTCAGGACCAGTATAAAACATTTTATCACAAAACAAATGAATATATTCTAATTTGCATTGTAGAAACCAGATTTAATGTTAGACCTAGAAAATGATGCAGAATTTTAGAAATAAAGGTCCAGACCAAAGTCTGCTGAAAAGCTCAGGTTCGAACTTCTTTAAATATATAATAAAAATATTTCCTCTGACTGTGCCGAGACGAAGGTATAATATCCCTTTTACGGGGAATGTTATATGTATTTGACAGGAATCAGTGTTCCGGTAAAATTAATGATTTCCTATTGACCGAAAAGGGAAGAAAAAGATAAAGAACGACCACCAATTTTAAATCAGGTAACAAATGTAGAATGTAGTATCTAAAATTTTTAAATTTTGCGACAAATCTCTCGTTTCTTTTTTACCTTTCTCATATACTATTGCCACTGACGGAAGATTTCGAACAAGGAAGACCAGGTAAGTATGCTTGGAATTTACAAAGAAATGTTTTTTTTAAAATTTTTTATTGATTGCATGCAAGGTCGTCAGATTAACAAATTATGTATTCAAAGAATTCATACAAAAACGATTTTCCTCAATTTTTGTTAACATTTTTAACACAATGAAATAAAAATGGCCAAATTAATGTCATTAGTAAACAATATAAAGGAAATAAATTTTACATTTTCTGAATTATTACTTCCTCGCGTTAAAGTCTTCCATTGTTCAAAGAATTAACCTTTACAAAGAGATAAAAGCTTACCTTGTAGAAACCCACAAGGATATTGTATGACTGCTAAACATTTTGATAGAGGTTCCTGTTTTAGAAACTCCTGTCCAAATCGACAATATTAAATTCTGTTACCTTTGTTTGATCAAGGAAACGAAAAACAATTTCAATAACTTGTTGAAAAGATTCTAAAATTTATGACAATTTTAAAACTGTTCATAACAAAACAAAATTGAAAACAAAACACCACAAAAAGTCATTGAATAGATCATGACACATTTCATAAAGTTTTTATTTATGGATATCTTCTTCATGTTATACGGTGCAAGATGTTGCTGGAACCTTATAGAAACATTTTAAAGTTTTAAAAAGTTTTGTACCCCCTCTTTTTGTTGGTTTTCATAATAATCTCTCCAAACACTATAATCTCACCGTCAGTTACGCAGTAAATTCATATAAATAAGCAAAATCTCTTAAAACAGTATCATCGTTTTATTGTTATATTATATTAGTTAGTATCGGGACATCTAGACGACACAAGTTTTTCGATTACATCAGTAGACTTTATCGGTTATATCGGTAGACCGTGATCTCGTTTGTGGAACCTTGTCCTACATACAGGTTATACTGATCATCAACACACAGTCCCTGTGGACAATGTTCTTGTGTTGTAAGGATAAGGAAAAGGAACTGTCCGTCCGGGTCCAAGAGGTGGACATTCTTGCGGTGACCATCACAGACCATTATATACCCGTGAATGTCTGTGCATATTCCATATGGAATGAACTTCGGTTTCTGGCCTTTGTAGCTAAAATGATGCTTTCCTGATTTGTTCACAACAACGACGGCTTCTTTTCCGCTGTCTGAGGCGCATATGTCCCCGTTGACACTTTCTGTGATGTAATTCGGATACTCGTACAAGCTGTTCTGTAGATAGGACTTAAATTGAATGCTGTTCACTTTTATTCCTGCTCCTGTGAATCTAGTAATCTTCCCTTGATGGTCTTTCACCATTCCAACAAGAACGTCTCCGTTAATTCGAGAGAAGCAGATGCTGAGAGGTGTCCATCTTTCAGTGCTGATCAGTTGAGTTGTCTTTTCATTTCTAACCTTATTCACAACCCTCTTTGATTGATCAGTGTACAGGAAATCGTCATCATCTGTGACTGCATGGAAGCCATGTTCTCCAATATTTGCTATGAGGTTTTTATGAACTTTTCCATTTATGTCAATTTGCTCTAGAGATCCCCAAAGGTCGCTTACCCAGAGCTTGTTCAGTTTGTCCAGGGATATATGCAGAATATTCTCCACATCTGATACTACGATTGTTTTGACAAGACTGAATTGATATATAGAACCAACTACATTGGGCAATCTAAAATTGTTCTCCACCCTGTGGTTCATTATGTTATGAAGCGATGGAAACGAAAATATAGAAGGCTTGCGTGGTTTATCTCTCCCTGTTGCGACTTTACAGTTATCATTCTCGGTGATGCGGATTGATCCCAGTATGGCTGAGATCTCTGTTCTGTTGACTTGGCCTGGGACAAATTCCAGAATTGGTAGTGACGGTAAATGTGGAAAATCCTTAACACCCATTGTGTTTTTGTCTAAAGCGACGAGTTCCAGCAATGTTTTATCTGCAAGATTAACATCATACCTATCTACGAGATCCTCCAAATTCGAAATATAATCTTCTACGTCAGTACTTTGTGTTTCTTGGTCTTTCAATAACTTTTCTTCCACGTTGTCCAACTTTCCCATGTTTTCCAACACAATTTTATTGACAATTTCTTTCAGTTCCGAAGCTTCAACAACGACAGACATTCTAAGACTAGCTATCGAATTCTTCACCTCTGCGAAACCAGTGGCTATTTCATTTTGCCGTGCTCTTGAACTGGGTAGCAAGTGGTCCTTTATGTTCGAAATTCTCTTCGAACAGATGTCAAATTTTTCGGCGTAAGTTGTTCTCAGATTCACAAAGTTATGTCCTTTATGTTCAGAACTGGCTGCGCATTTGAAACATAAAGGAACTAAACAGTTGTCGCAAAACGAAATGATGGCACTTGTGGTATGGATTGTGCAGTTTTCTGCGAGATACGTTGGTTGGTGTTGCAGAAGGGACACAATATCATGGTGAATAAAATCCAGAGATTTTAAATGTTCTTCTTTGCATCCTCTACATAATTGCTTGTGGCACGGATTGCAGTAGAACTCACTGTCCATAGTGCAGTTATTACATTCTATGCCGGTTAGGACTCTGCAACTATCCATCATGGTTGTCTCGCTAAAGAAACAAAAATAGTTAAGGATATTGAAAAATGAGTCCTGTGAGAATTCTTGATTTTGTTTTTAATCTACAACATTCAAAGAATTGATGAAAGCCGCAAAGAATTATAATGGAGAAAATTTTTTGATACACTGTAATTTTATTAGCTGAAATATAATTATAATCACATTGGATTATCTCTAACTGCATGGATAAAAGTTTTAGAATTGGATCAATAAAACGTTACTTTAAGAAAAAAATGGAATAACAAATACATTTATCTGATTTTTACCTGATTTTTTAAAATCCTCCTGACGTAAAAAGATATTTCGAATGAACAAGCGTATATAAGTACTTCCTTCTGAATAAAGGGAAGAAAAATAAAATGAATTTTGCGGATTACTTGAATAGTTTCAAAAGTAGCAATTTATAATTCTCCTTCATAAGGAAACTAATCAGGTAGGTGAAAATTATGCCGCATGAAAGCACGTGATTTCTCCGCATGGTACATGTATATTGATTTCTTTAACTACGTGTCTCAGGAAATTAAAGTACTGCAATTAACACGCATGCAGTTGAGCAATACATAGCTCGTTCTTTAAGTGGACATCTAATATCATTTGACAGAATCTAACCTATTAACATATGGATATTTTTCGGCTTTTATAAAAAACCATTTGTGGCTCTTTAATTCATACTGTTCCCTTCAGGTCCTATTCTAACGAAAGCTTATGTATCTTATAAAAAATACAATTTCACAAAAAGGAGAAGTTACCATGTTTCCCATGGTGCTTAGTGATAATTCTTCATCCTTCATACACTGTACCGTTTAGATTTTTGATTTTTTTTTATATTACTAATATTTTATTAATGCTCTTCACTCTCTTTAAAACAATTATTGAGCTATGGTTGATATATGAAAGATAAACACAACGAACAATAATAAAGCTCAAAAGTCCATTAAAATTGTACGAATAAAGACCAGGACTAGCGTTGACCTCTTTTTATTTTTTTTTATTTTTAACCCCAAAATGATGCTAAAATTGTCAGGAGTTCAATAACTTTTTGTGACAGTTTGAAATTTCAATATTTCTTTTGAGATCTGTGAAATAACTATTAATGGTTTTTGTTGCAAATAAAGATTTTTCTAATAAAATTCAAAGTCATGTAAATTTAGCCCTGATCCCTGTACTTATGATTACTGAGTCATAATTTAAAGTACATGTAATTGATGACATCTTATTAATTTTTCCATCTCTTGTTATTACTCTAGATTACAATAATTTCAAAACGCCCTTTTTCTTGTTTTTTTTGTTTTGTTTAATGATTGCAAAAGAAACAGAGATATGACTTTGACTGGGCGAGAGTCAATAGTTCAGTATTGACAACTTGCCCAAGATGTCAGAATATAAAGCATATTTGTGTTTTACTGGTATTTTACCTTTTTTGTAAATTTAATCAAAAAGTAATGCAAGATTTTCAAAAAAGGTCACGTCACAAGGTGCATTTAATAGATATTACTAGCATAGTTAAAGGTGTTCAGGAAAAACAAAATGTTTTGTAGCATGCATTTTGAAACAAAAGAATAAACATGTAGTAATGTTCTTTAGTGTACGTAACCCATTTTGGTGATTTGCAAAGCTACCAAAACAAATTCAACATGACAATTCAAAAACCTTGGAATAAAATATATAGAAATACACCTGTAGCAATCTTTTCGTTAAACTTAAAAAAAAATCCATTTAAACTGTACACATTTTGAGCAGAGCAAACAAACGTCTAAAAGGATCAGAGGTGGTATCAGGGGCAATGGAGAAGTAAGTACCCCCTTAGATAATTCACCAACTGTATACACAGAAACACCCTGAGGTATTGTAAATTCACATTTGTTCGAAATAACCACATGAATGGAATATTATTTGATTTATGATATAATTATTCACCATTCATCAAAGAACACAGGATCTTTGATCATCATTTTATTATCATTGTTTTAATACAGTAATTAAAATGAAATAATGACCACAAGACATTTTTTCCAGATTTATCGATTAAATTACAACTTCATGTATATGTACAGTGTACTTATAATCAGAAAAATGCATGATTAAACTACAAATTTTATTTGATTACACCTGATTACTGTTACTAATAATGATAACCCATTCCTGCAAATAACATAATTTTTTCATTCAATATTTGACTTAATTACATATACATCATGTACATCAAAAATATATCATGTAAGTTTTCCAACTTTATCTATTTTCATGCACTCTTCAACTGCTTTATCAATTAAGACTTCCCTATCTAGGGAAATGGGATTTTTCTTCATCTCATCAACTTTGCTTCTACATTCTCCAGAAAGCTTGGAAAGTTTCGGTATCAAGGTAAGTAGTTGTACTTTAGAGCATTTCTTTTCAGCAGCTTCTAAAATATTTTCGCAGTTAGACAGCATACTTTGCATATTGAGAAGAGTTCGCTTTCGTTTCTGAATTGCTTTCGTGTCCTTACTTTGTTCTTTTAATAATTTTTGATCAAACTCTGATTTTAGTTTGTCTATATGCTTTATCAAATTTTCACTATAGTATTGTAAATGTTCACTAAGATTGTTGCTGCTCTTCTCTAGTTTTTCATAATCCTTTGTAAAGAAGTCGATTTTAGAGTCAATATTTTCAATAAGCATCTTTATTTCATTGTCGATATGGTTTGCATCTTTTGTTTCCTTACATCCTTTTGCGGCATCTTGAAGAGTTAAAACTGTTTCACATTTCCTGTGGTTCACCATTGTACAAGTAGCACAGCAAGCCACATCGTGATCTTCGCAGAACATTTCCAGTTTCTTGTCGGGATGAATTTCACAGATCTGATGTGCAGTTGAAAGAAGAGATGTCGCATCCTTAGTATCATCAAGTGGGGCCATTCTATGATCAGTTAAAGCAGGGAATGATGTATGGAATTCACCACATGCCGTGCATAGAGCAGCACTGCACGAGTAACACCAGAATTGTCCAGGTTCGTTCTTACCACGTTTTAAACAGGAATAACACACGATTTTTTTCTGTTCTATGTCCTTTTTATCAAGCAGCGTCATGATTAAATGGTTAACTGGAAATTCTGCAGCAGCCTGCTTCAAAGATTTGTCTTCCGAGATGTGAAATTGGTAAAACGCACGGCACGTTGGGCAAGCAAATCCATCTTTCTCCTTTGAGTATACCGTGGAAATGTAATCTGAAAGACATACTTCACAATAGGTATGTAGACAGGGGAGATAGCGAGGTTTTTTGAAGTTTTCCAGACATATAGGACACGTAATCATCTCCTCGTAACTCATGGTTCTATGTTTATGTCAATCCGCTAAAACGAAAGAAGGCTAGAAGGCTAGATAAATTGTAATATCTAACTGAAAATCGATTCGAAAAAAGTCACTTACTTTACCTAATATTTGAAGGATTGATAAGAACTTTAAATATAACAGTTAAGTAAAAATTAAAAGAGCAAAATCTGATGTTTTTCCTCTAACATTCGTTAATTAAACAGAGTGGTGTTAAGTTTTAGCAATCCGGAACATTATATTTCATATTTTAGGTTTACATGTCTTGGTTGCCACGTCAGTTGAGGTAAAAGGTCTGTTTTTAGCACAAAAGTGACACGAGGGTATGTTGATCTGCAGATAAAAGTGACATGCATCAGAACAGGTAATTAAAATTACGATGTTAATTTAAATATCATATAAAATAAATATTTGATTTTTATTCTTATTCTTATTGTTATGATGTTTTCATTTGAAATGCAGGTGCAGAAATAAAAATATCAATAGTTCGTTCAGTATATTGACTACACGCCATTAGTATTCAGGTTATCTCTAATTATAAAGATGGGCATATAAACACCCTTTGTTTACAAAGGTTGCATGATTTCTATGAAGCATCAAGTTCAATAGAAAATTAAACTAATAGTTTTACAGGTTTTAAGGGGTATGATAAATAACATTTTTTCTCAATTTATGGCCAAGAGGAATTAATTTAAAGACAAAACAATTAAGCACACAAATACAGATTTGTTATTTAATCAATTGAGCTTATTTCTTGAAAGAGCGAATAGAAATTTCTTTCATATAAATTGACATTCAAATAATAAAGTTTTTAAAATTATAATTTATTTGTCCCTTAGAAAACAATGGATGCTCTCAATTCTACGAAATTAGAACTATGTCAAAAATAATGATCTTGCTATACTAGAATTCTGCTCCTTATTTTAGCATCATATCTTTTGAGAAGGAAACTTGCAGAAAAGCAGAAAAGCAGAAAATATTCTGTTAAAAATTGCATTAATCTTCGCATGAAAAAAATAAAGACCTGTTTAAATTGTTTCACAGATGAGATAGGTAGGAAACTTTTCTACTGTTTGACCCTAAAAGTCTTTTCAAATAACATCATATTTAAAACATGTATGTTTTTATTGTTAGTATACAATTCTACAGTAATATATTCTTTATACTTTAAAATTTTAAATTCTTTTTTCTATTTACAGCTATGGAAACCATGAAAAACTTGTCAACACAGCCAAAGATGGTCACCAAACAAGACAAGGGTACCATTGATGGAAAGACTACTTGTGGAATTTTAACATGCAAGCAATGTAAAGATAACCTAAGTGATCCTGTAACATTGGAATGTTTGCATTCAGTATGCAAAGAGTGTTTTCAAAAATTGAAGATACAGTTTAGGGACAGTCCAAAGCATGAAAAACCTTTTGTGGAATGCCCATCTTGTGAATATGAAACTCCAATCCAGCCTACTTCAAGAAAAGAATTGGATCTCAATTATTCTTCAGCTCTTTTGAAAAATATAATTATATTAACTCTGAAAGATTACCAAAGGGAAGACAATCCTACGTGTTTGCCTTGCAGAAATCGAAACAAAACGAGCCATGCATCATATTGGTGTTTTGTCTGCATTGCTTATCTTTGTGATGAATGCTTTCTTTTTCATAAATCTCTACCTTTTCTTGCAAAACACAAAACTTATAAAAAAGAGGAAGTAGTAGAAGATCCCTTTCTATTTGCAATGGCACGCGAAATCTGCTGTACACATGGGTTGCGTCTATCTTTCGTTTGTAAGGCAGATGAAAGTGCTTGTTGTGATAAGTGCATTTTGAGTAGTCATATTAACCAATGTAAAGGCGATCATGTGGGTACAGAACAAAGTTCTTGTTTTGTCGATACAAAGCTACCTGTCTTAAAAATGGGGATTAAAGTGTTAATTGACGAAACAACAACTCTTTTAAAAGACGTTTGCAGAGTTGAAGTAAACACTGAAAAGTCATTCAAAGACTGGCTTCATCTATCAAGTAAAACTAGCGAGAATTTCAAACAAACGTTTCTAGAAAAAGTTGACCAGTTGCTTGCAGAATCTTACAAAGTCACGAACCTTAAATTGACAGAAATAGATTCAAAGATAACAACCCTTAAACAGAAGAAACTTATTTTAGAGAATGCCCGGGATGTTATCATAGCCTCAAGGTCAGGGTCGGACGTAAGATATTTTTTAGAAAAGAAAAAGGTAGAGAATATTATCAAAGACGTCAAAAAAGATACTGAAATCATCGTCAAAGAAAATTTTAAAAATCCTGCTATTACTCTAGACAGCTCTCTAATAAAAGTTCTTGAACTTGATAGTTTTGGATCATGCAGAAAGGTACAAACGCTCAAGAAAGAAGAAGAAAATGTTAGAGACAATAAGGTGATGGGCACTTTAGGATCTTCTAATGTACTTTCCCCCCAAAGCTATAACACCTTACGTCAGGGCAGTTGCGTTAATCACAAACCTTTGCCATGTATTGTAAGATCATTTAAGTTTGGATCTAACACATTTTCACTTTCCAAAACGATTGAAGTAGAAGGAGCAGAAAAATCTCACATCACAGGATGTGCCTGGAAATCAGAGAACGAAATTGTTGTCGTGGATGCAAATCTGGAAGAAAGGGAATTCAGAATTTACAATACGCAGAATGGAGCACTTACAAACAAAGTTCATTTAGACTATCAACCATTTGATATAACTGTTTGCTCAAAGAAAATGTGCGCTGTCACATGCCCTAAGGAGAAAAAAATCTTAGTTTATGATTTAGACACTCTTAAAAAAAATAACGACATCAATGTTGCCTTTAATTGCTACGGTGTTTGTCACTGGACAAAAGGAATTATCGTTGCTGGGAACGAGCGCGTGGCGCTTTTTGACATTAATTTTCAAATACACAGAACAATTACACTAACTCAGAAGAATGCACGATACGTATGTGCATACGACAACAATCTTATTTTTTTCACAGATGTGGATAAAAATGTTTTTAGTACTATGGGAGATGGGAAGAGTCGGTTTACATACAACAATAAGGAAATGAAGTGCCCAACGGGTATCATTCGTGATGAAGATAAAAACATATATTTCTGCGAGAAATCTTCAACATTTATTCACAAGTTGACAAAAAGAGGAAAATTTATTCAGAAAACTGATGTTGGCTCAAAACCTATTGTAATATCACTTTCAAGGTCAAGGAAGCAAATATGTATTATTAGAGAAGGACGAGGCTCGAAGAATGAGGCCGATATATATGTTTCAACCTAGAATTTGTTTTACTTCAGAAACTTGAGGGTCTGCTGCAAATGAATTGATTTGTAATTAAGTTCTAAATACTTATCTTCATATTTAAAGACATGGGATGTGTGATGCTCTATGTCCATCCATACAGATTAATTTATATTATCACATGGGCAAAAGTTGCTACAAAATGCAATATGAAACAACTGTTCACATTCATGTATCAACAGATATGCTGTGCAACAACCATTTAATGCAGTTAATAAATGAAGACATAATATCTTTTTTTTTTAATGGAAAGCTGCAATAAACAATATGTGTACTGGAGATACAATAAACAATATGTGTATACAAAAAGTAGGGGTAGTCATACACACTGGCCATTTTCTCCCAGTGATATGAAATCTACATGAACAGTGAAGGCTGAAATAAGAACCTAGCATAATTATAAACGTGCAAAAGGCGTTCTTGATAAACCTACAAAAGTCAATTTGAATGAAATTAGTCAGATGTATAGAGATTCTGCTGCTTCCGTAAGAACAGATTGTCGTGGGTTGAAAAAGCTTAAGAATGACGCTTGAGACGTTAAAAATTGCTCAAGGCCAGGGCGACCAAAGACAGCTGTTACTGATTGAAACGTGACTGCAGTTAAGAAAATGTTAGAGAGGGATGATAAATATACTTTAAAACATATACTCTAGTGTTTCTGGGATCTTATCAGCAAAGGTACGCGAAAAGTTGACAAATCACCTCAACCTATGTAAATTACGTTTGCACAATTGACACCAGAACAAAAGTCAACGCGTTTAAAATTTGCCAGAAAACTTTAAAATCTATAAATCTGTTACAGGAGAAAGTTGCTGACCTGTTTAAGCACATAGGAAATAATTAACAATATGACGTGTATTAAAAAAGTAAAAAAAAAGCGTCCTGTCATAGAAATTTTTTGTATGCTTTTTTCTTTAATTCTAGATGCACAAGGGTCCATTTTTAAAAGAACTTACGATTGAGACCAAAATTAAATTTTGTGTATAACGTTCTAATAAACATTGAATTAAAAAAGACTTCATTTTTTCAAAAAGGATTGAAGTTAGATGTTTAACAATAGCAATTAAAAACAATATGAATAACCAACAAGGTCGATGTATCTCCGGACAATTTTACAAAAGTTATATATTGAAAAAGTTTCTGAATAGAAAGCACCAATGTCACGATTCAAGAACATAATTATATAAGCTCATTCGTGACAAACCTCCAGAAAAGATATAGTAATCACGTACAAGTTTATCATGATTTTTTTCTTAGGTTTCTTAGGTTACAATAAAAGTTTATTTCTAGTAATTCAAAAAGCTGGAGAACTGTAGCTCTCAGCTTGAGAAAATTCGGACAGTTAAAACAGATAGCTACGTATCCAAGCGTTGTAAAAACCTTCGATTTTCGCCACCAACTTTTTGTTGCTACTTTAGGTATTATTTCTTGTATTTCATGCTTTTTCTGGCTTTTGGAATGCTATCTATTAATAAAAACATATTTTTAGCTCTTATTTTGGATACTTCATTTACCTTTCAAAGGTCCGACACAGTCCTGTCTATAGTGTCGTAATGTCTGTTAAAAGAGTCCCATTTCGACGTCCGTAACACAAACGGCCTTTTCTAAGCGTTGTAAGGTAAGTAAATTATCAGAAATTGGAGTTAAATGCATGATTTATTAGTAAATATCATTCTTAAAGTATAAAATAAAAGAAATGATATCCGAAGTTAGCGACCAAAA